TGCCGGAGTGATTTCGCAATCGAGATTCCAAACCAAACATAAAGAACACACAGGGTTTCGCAACACCGATTTGCTAAAAAAGTTTCCGCGCGAGCTCTTGCGAAACTTTAAGCAAGCCATCGTTTTTTTTTTTTTTTTTTTTTTTTTTTTTTTTTTTTTTTTTTTTTTTTTTTTTTTTTTTTTTAAAAAATATAAAAAAAAAAACTATTTTAAAAAATGTTCACACAATGTTATTAAACGGGCTTCGCGCGCGCGCATGTCGAAATCTGTCGAACGCCCTTGCGCGTGTGCCGTTTGCGCGTGTGCCGTCGCGAGAATTCTCTGCAAAAAAATTTGACGAAGTGCAGGCGCGCGTCGTCGCGCGCGTACGCCGAAAACCTTCAAAACCCATCGGTTTCGGAAGGATGTCAAAATCGTGTGCCCAAGAAACATACACAAACACAAGGTTTCGCAACACGGATTTTCAACAAAAACGTGCGCGCGCGCTCTTGCGTCGTCGTCGTCGTCGTCGTCGCCTCCTCCCGCGTCGTCGTCGTCGCCGCCTACGTCGTCCTCTGTCTTTCCTCGTGTTCGTCGTCGTCGTCCTCTTTGGCGTCGTGGTCGTTTCGTCACGGTCTTGTCTTGAGAGGTCTTGCGACCAAGTTGCGGGTGGGAGGGTGGGATGTTTGCACGAGCAGTGGGGAGGACAGTTTCAAGACGGCCAGATATTAAGATTGCACAACATAGATCGCACAACATATACTCTCCCTTCGTAAAAGAAATTAGATGCTACCCCCATCGCCCCCCGGGATTACCACTCCCCCCTGGGGTATTGAAATCTACATATGATTCCGCCTCCTTGTTCACTTCCCATTCGAATCCATACCAATCCAGCTAGTTCCGGTATCGGGTCCCCCCGCATCCCTGTCAAATAATCGGTGCACACGCGTTGACCTAAGATGAGGGGAGTGCACGAATCCCCATGGAATAATATGATACCAGAAAAGAAAGCCCAACCATAATGTTTTTTTGGCTATCGGGCTATGGGGATATAGGCTATGGGGCCACCATGGGGTTATAGGTCTATAGGGCTGTGGGGCTATAGGGCTATGGGGCCATAGGGCTATAGGGTTGTAGGGCTATAGGGCTCTGGGGCTATCGGGCTATAGGGCTGTAGGGCCATACTTGGCTCCAACAAAAGTTTCCTTGAAAACTCGCAAGAGGAACAATATGTATGTAAAACCGTCGGCAGGATGAAAAATCGCGCGCGCGTGCTCAGCGTTCGCACGCACGCGATCCCAAGACGTCCCATGGCCACAACATGCTTCCGGGAATGCTTCAGGCCGCGGACGATAACGTCCAGAGGACCCAGGATGATGCCACCCCAACGCGATCCCGCCATGGATTCTGGACCGTCTCAAGCCGACTCGCAGATGACGAAACACATGAGCAACGCGTGACGCCGAGATGGCCCGATGGCAACAAGATGGATCCAAGCGCACCCAGGGTGGCCTCATAATGACCACGCGATGGTTGCGTGATCCAAACATGACGGGGATATGATCTCAAGATGATCTCAAGACGACCCCAACACGGCAATAATACTGCACTTTATGAGCCCCATCTTACTTCGAGCCGATCCCAGCATGGTGGGAGCCGTGAACGGCCCGGGATTTTGGTCTACCCCATTTTTAATGGGTGGGAGTTTGATTGTCCTGAACTAAACTCATCATATTAAAGCGGAATAAGCCGGGCGGGATCCCGCCCGGCCCACGGAGGAAGACAACATTGCTAGGCTTCTACAGGGGTAGGGGGTTCGGAAGGGGCGTCGTTTACTTCCGCTGACATTGGCAAGCCTTCCGGCGGCCTTCCCCCGTCTTCCGCCTCGTTTTACTTCCGTCGACTTCCGCCGGCCAGCGTCGTGATGAAAATTCCAGGTACTTCCATTGGGCCGATGTAGGGCTATAGGTCTATAGGGCTATGGGGCTGTAGGGCTACATGACCATAGGGTTACAGGGCTATAGGGCTACAGGTTATAGGCGTACAGAGCTATGGGGATACAGGACAATAGTGTTATAGAGCTATATGGCTAAAAGGTTCTAAGGCGATAGGGCTATAGAACTATAGGGCGATCGGGCAATTGGGCTATAGAGCTATAGGGCTATTTGGCTATGGGGCTATTGGGCTATAGGGCTATAGGGCTATAGGGCTATAGGTCTATAGGGCTATGGTCTATAGGGCTATATGGGCTGCGCGGCTATAAGGTTATAAGGGTATTGGGCGATTTGGGCTACAGGCCTTCATGGCTATGGGGCTATCGGGCAAAAGGGCTATAGGGTCATATGGCTATAGGGCTATAAGGCCGCACGCGGGCACCCGGGCTTTTGGGCACCTGGGCACCCGGGCGGGCCGCGGAAATCGGTGGCAAACGTCACATAACCATATGATATTGGAGAACAAACCCAATCACAATCGTTTTAGGGTTTTAGGGCTATGGGGCTAACCCTGAATAGGGCTAGAAGGCTATGGGGCTATAGGGCTACAGGGCAACACGGCCATAGGGCTGTTGGGCTACAGGATTGTGGGGCTGTAGGGCTATAGGGCCATAGGGCTATAAGGCTATAGGGCTATTAGGGCTATAGGACTATACAAAGCTATAGGGCTATAGGGCTATACAGAGCTACCGGGCACCTGGGCACCCGGGCACTTGGGCACCCAGGCACCCGGGCACACGGGCACCCGGGCACCCGGGCACCCGGGCACCCGGGCACCCAGGCACAAGGGCACCCGGGCACCCGGGCACCCCCGGGCACCCGGGCACCCGGGCGTGCCGCGAAAATCGGCGGCAAACCTAACCTAACCATATGAATCCGCTAGGACCCCTACAGAGGCAAGCTCTGATTGGGGAATGAGTCTGAAAAGACCTCTACAGAGGCAAGCTCTGATTGGGGAACCATGCGGGCCACATGCGCGCGCAAGACGAAATCTGTACAAAACACCTTTTTGTTTTATTTGCGATTTCAGTTTGTAAACATCAAACACCCCCTGGTTTTTCAACAACAGCGTTTTCAGCATTTCATCCCGCGCGCTCTTGCGGATTCCTGGGAACCCCATGTGTTGTTTCAATGTTCGTGTCCAAGGAGGCTTGCGCGCGCTGTCGAACTTATTCCAATGCCCTCGCGCGATTGCCAGAGGCATGATCCCTGTCAAATTGTACCATGCGGGGCACCGTCATTGTCATCATTGCCGTCGGAAGCGTCGTAATCATTCTCGTCGTCGTTTTGTCGACGCCGTCCTCCTCGTTGTCTCCCGCAAGATGGACTCCGCCCGCGCGACGAGCGTCCGCGCGCCCATGAACACGATACAATTATTGGAAGAGCTCCACGCTGTATCTGTACTCGTGACCTTATGAGTTCTGCCAACCACTTCATCGTCGTTTGTCGACGCTGTCGTCCGCGCTGTCTCCCGCAAGATAGACTTTGCCCGCGCCACGAGTATCCGCGTGCCAGCGACCTCGATAAAATTTGCGCACGAACTCCACGCTGCAACTGCAGTCGTGATCTTATGAATTCTGCCGACCAAGATGTGTGTGGGAGGGTGGGATGTCTGCGCAAGCGTGGGAGGTGGTCACGCGCGGTGCAGAGTGGTCCATTGCACAACGTAGATTGCACAAGTTAGATTGCACAACGCAGATCGCACAACACAGGTTGCAGAACACTTGTTGCACAACATAAACCGCGCAACCGATATTGCACCACGTAGACTACACCGCACATTTTGCACCACGTAGATCGCATCACTGATCTCGCTACACGTAGGTTGCACAACACAGATGTTCAGGCACACGCTGTCTGAGGTCCACGCTGGCTAACATGTTAAGCTTCCCGGATTATTTAATCGTTTCGCTCATTCCGCCGGCCCGTATTGTGCCATCGCAGGCGTTTGCTTGCGCGTTCGTGGCCTCTTGGAGCCTCGGTGGGGCCGTTTGGGGCCTCTTGGCGCCTCTTTTTAGGCCTCTTGGAGAACTCGGGAGGCCTCCAGGGGGCCTCCTGAGCTCTCGTGACGGTCTCTTGGGGGGCTTTCGGCGGGCTCTTGGCGGTATTTGTTGGTCCTCTTGGGGCCTGGGGCCTGACGTTGTTGGTCCTCTTGGGGCCTCACGGGAGCTTATTGGGGCGTCTTGGGGGTGTCTTGGAGAGTCTCTTGGGGCCTCTTTCGGGGTCCTGGGCGCCTTCTGGGGCGGAGGGCTAGATTTTTCAGTTATCGGTTCCCTTCTTGAGCCCCTCTTGGGCCCGTCTTTGGGCCTCTTGGTCCGCCTTGGGCAGCACTTGGGCCGTCTGGGGGGCGCTCTTGGGCCGCTCCAGGGCCGTCTTGGGAGCCTCGTGGGCCGTCTTGGAGCAGTCTTGAAGGCCTCTTGGGCCCTCTTGGAGCGTCCGGAAGCGAAAAGGCCAGAACTCAAAAAAACATAGGAACAACCAAGGAAAATCAACGATTTTGGCAACTTGGGGCCCTCTTCGGAGGCCTCTTGGAAGGCCCTTGGAGCGTCTTGGAGGCCTCTTGGGCTGTCTTGGGGCCATCTGGGGCGTCTTCGGGCGATCTTTGGCCGTCTCGGGCCTCTCTTGGACCGTCTAGAAAGCTTCTCGGGGCCCTCTTGGACCGATCTGGAGCCCTCTTGGACTCCGAAACAGAACTCCGGCATCTCTGACCCGACCTTGCCGGGGACTTGCCGGGACCTTGCCGGGGTACTTTTCGCCCGGGGACCCCCAGGGGCCGCCCCGCGCGCGCGAACTAGAAATACTGTTAACCAGGTACCGGAGATCTTAGCACGCCCTGGCCCGTTGGGCCGGCGAATTAATGTTTTGCACGAGCTACAAAACTAACGTCGCTGCAAAAGCGAATGTCGCTAATGTCGCTAATGATGCAATTTTATCATGGCATCATTCACGTCCTGAGTTCCTGAGCGCCCGTCCCCCGCCCCAACAGGGCCAAGGACGAGGAAGGATCGCCGATCTCGTCGGTTGGAGGCTGTCGTATATCACCTTCCCGACCGAGATCCTGCCAGCGGGACGCCCGACTTCCGGCCAGTCGTGTCCGACGGGACGCAGGCCTCAACTTCGCCGTGTTATTTCTTCGACCAGGCCAGTTCTCCCAAGGATGTGGGCCATAGGAAAGGTCGCCCCGTGCCCCGACATTCAGGAATATATGCGAACATCTATTGAAGAATATCGTTTTGAGGGGTGCAAGGGACACCCAACCCGCATTGAGAAGTTAGTCTCAGGGCCCAGGGGGTGTTCAAAATTGTTGACAGGAGGAGGCCGCCAGCGCCGGGCCAGCTGCGGCGCCGGCGCCAGACATCGTAGCCACGCACCTGCCCGACCAAGATCCGGACCTCACGATGGACCTGTCTCTGACCCCGCCCTGCGACGCTGCCGCGGCGCTGGCGACACCAGTGCCGCAGCGTCCCGTCGTCGCCACTGCGGCCAGCGACTCGGAGGCCAGCACGGCTTCGGTCGAATCCGGTGGGCTGCAGCCCTTGGAGGCTGCCTCGGCAACCTCGGCGGAGGTCAGCGCCGCCCCCGGCTCCGCGCGTCGGGCGTCCCCCCTGGAGCGGAAGCTGGGGGCGGCAGGGTTCAGATGGGCGGAGGCGGCGGGGGATGCCACTGGCAGCAAGCCCAGCCCGCGCACGCAGCAAGGCAGCATCCAGGAGCGGATGAAGGCCTACCAGTCGGCGGCCGCATCGGCGCCGCAGTCGCCGCCCACGTTGGGCGGCTCCTCGGCGCCTGGGTCGGCGAGGTGCCCAGTGCCATCAGCAAGAAGGCTGGGCGTGGTGGCCGCCGCGAAGGAGCTCGTGGAGAAGCAGCAGCAGGAGCAGGAGCAGCAGCAGCTACACGCGGCCGAGAAGTCTAGGTCGCGGAGGTCGCCAAGCCCCGCGCGGCAGCCCTCCAAGGTGTCATGGGTGCTCTCAGGCGTGATGGAGCAAAGGGTGCTGAAGACGGGCCTTCTCAGACTACACCGCATGCTCTGCAGCGACGGGCAAGCAAGCGAGTTAGAGCTGCCCTCCTGTGCTGACGGCTCCGCCAAGGTGCGCCAGGGCAAGAATTTCTTGCTGCGTCTGCTAGGCGACCAGCTGGAGTTCAAGAGCTGCTCTCAGAGCGACGTTTCCTCGGCCCAGGCTGACCTGCGACACCTGACGTCGGAACAGCTGCTGCGCATCCGCGCACAGACACTGGACTTCGCCACCCAGTCCTCGAGCCACAGCGCACACCTCAGCTTCCTAGAGATGGTTGACAGGCAGCTCTTCGCAAAGTTCGCGAGGCGGTGCCTGCCCGCGGGCGTTGCCGAGGATGCGAGGCTGGAGGTGCTACACGCGGCCGGATTGCGGATTGTGCTGGTGTTGGGCGCGGAGGAGCTGCTGGCCACCGGCTGGGGTCGGCAGGCGGACCCAGCAGCGGAGCCGCTGCCGATGCCGTCCTGCTGGGTGCTGCCGCTGGTGCCAGCGGACTGGCCGGGGGAGTGCCAGATGGCCGCCTTCAGCAGCGCCCGCTTGAGGCTGGAGGCGCTGCCCGGCGAGCGGCCAGATCTCTCAGGGCAGGCTCGTCGTGAGCCAAAGTGGGGCCCGTGGAAGAGCCGCTTTGGCCCGGGAGCCCTCCCGGAAGACCCCAGGGAAGTTTGCACACATCTCCAGGGAAGCCTCCATATAGGCAGACGACGACGTCTCTCTCGTTTCACGCCTTGCCTTTGGAGGGAGGCAGGCTGAGCGGACACGCGGTTAGCCATCCATTCTTCTTGGGTCTCTGTCTTGAGTGTCCCAGGGCATCCGAAAGCGAGCAGGCTTTCGGAGGTCCGCGTGGATTCCGTGGATCGGCGCTGGGTCCCCCTGGCGCGCTGATAGCGCCAGGGGCGGCGCCCAGAGGCGCTGCTAAAGGGTCAAGCGCCGATCCAGGAAATCCGCGCGAACTTCCGGAAGTTTATCGTTCTGCAGTGTTCAGTGCTTCCCTGCGGGCTCTGGGGAGGCCCCACGGCCCAGGGCCCCCGCTCCTTCGAGGGCCGCCTCCCCTTTGGCCCACGGCAGCAGGTGGCGCCGGGCGAGCGCGTGGCGCTGGTCTGCGACCGGAGCTCGGGCCGCCAGGGCCCCCCCCCAAAAGAGGGGAGAGGGTTGAGGTCGGGGGCTCCCGCGCTCCCCCCCCCTCGCCTCGCCTCTGGCCCCCTGGTGGCTTCAGTTGCCATCCTGGCAGGATGGGCTCATTGGGCGGGCGGGCCTCCTCGGCGGGGGGCCCTTCACGCGAGCGGCCGCAGCCAAGAGCGGTCCTTGCCGTGGAGGCCTCCACACGGCGTGGTGACCACACCGTGTGGTGAGTCAGTGGGAGCTCAGAGTCACCACGCGGTCTGGGGGCTGGAGTCGTTCCCCGAGGATGCCTCGAGCGACAGACGACGGAACCTGCGGTGCGGTCTCTGAAGATTCCGCGGTCACCGCGCGGTCTGTCACCACACGGTTAAGGCCCGCTCTCTTGCCGTCCTCCCTCGCCGCCTTCCTCTCCTCGGTGGCGTCCAAGAGGGGGGTCAGGACCAGAGGTGTGTTTGTGTGTGGATATGGTGGCCAGTGTCACGGAGTCTCCCATACTTCATTGGTCTCTCTTCTTCCGCCAGCGCGTCCTTCGGCCTCGCCTCGTCCGCGCACATGCTTTGGGCCATGATGTGCCTCTCCCTAGCCTCTTTCTTCGGCCCCCCCGGTATCCTCTCCGCATCCGTTGTTGTCGCATGATTCAAAGCGACAGTTCTTCTTTCCTCTCTCCTTTGGCAACGCCCCGCCATTTACCCACCCCTCCCTCCCGCCCCGCCACTTACTTCACGCAGGGTTCTGACAGACTTACTCTGTACTTGGTTTTGTTCATCTGGGACGGGTTCGGTCCTTACACAAGAACCTCGCTATCTTTCATGCTTAGAGCTTGCATCCGTTGTTCAGACAGCGCTCTCGCCTCTCCGCGAGCCATATGTCTGAATGAACGTGTTCTGCCGCTGCTGGCAGAAAACTGGGTGGGGTCACTGGAGGTTTCCAACCCGTCCCCCCTCCCCCGGTCGAAGATTGGGGAGGGGTCAGTGCCGGTTCGGACTCCCCCCCCCCTCCCCGGGTCCATCGTGAAAAGGGGGGGTTGTCACTACCGGTTCGAACCCCCTCTCCTCCCCTCAGGACAGTAGTTGGGACGGTGGTGGGGTTGGTGGTGGGGAGTGGGGGCAGACGGGGAGAGTAGTGGGGACATTGGGGACAGTTGGACAGTGGTGGGGACAGTGGGGACAGTGGGACAGCACAGTGGGACAGTGGTGGGGACAGTGGGGCAGTGGTGGGGACAGTTGGGACAGTGGGACAGCGGTGGGGACAGTTGGGACAGTGGGGAGAATGGGACCGTTGTGATGATAGTGGTGGGGACAGTGGGGATAGTGAGACACTGGTGGGGGCACTGGTGGGGATAGTGGGGACAATGGTGGGAACAGTGGGGACAGTGGGACAGTGGAGGGAACAGTGGAGACAGTGGGACAGCGGTCGGGACGGTGGTGGTGGTGGGGGCAGTGGTGTGGAGACAGTGGGACAGTGGTGGGGACAGTGGGGACAGTGGGACATTGGTGGGGACAGTGGTGTGGAGACAGTGGGACAGTGGTGGGAACAATGGGGACAGTGGGACAGTGGTGGGGACAGTGGGAACAGTGGGACAGTGGTGGGGACAGTGGGGAGAGTGGGACCGTGGTGGGGACACTGGTGGGGACAGTGGGGACAGTGAGACCGTGGTGGGGGAACTGACGGGGACAGTGGGGACGGTGGTGGGAACAGTGGGGACAGTGGGACAGTGGTGGGGATGGTGGTGGTGGGGACGGTGGTGAGGGCGGCGGTGAGGACTCTGGTGGGGCAGTCGTTTGCCGGCGGCGAGTGGGGGGGGGGTCGAACCGGTAGTGACCCCCTGTTTTCTGAAGGAGGGGTGGGTTCGAAGCAGTAGTGACTCCCAGGTTTTCCGGAGGGGGGGGGGGATGGAGGTGGGAGTTGTGTGTTTTGCCGGGGGAGGGGGGGGAGAGGTTCGAGCAGGGGGGGGGGGTCGGAGGAGGAGGGGGGGGAATTTTTCACAGTAGAGCGGTGGTGGGTCATGCTCTCTCGTATGTCTGAACCTACCCCTTCGCCGTTGCCGTCTCCCTTGGTTCCCTTCTGCGTCTTTCCCCGATGCTTTTGCGCCCTCCTGCTCCAGCTCCTGCGGTTGATCATCCGCCTTCTGCCTCCTCTTCCTGTTCATCCGCCGCCTCCCCATTCTGCAACGCGCAAAGCCCACCTTTCCGAAAGCGCAGCAGACGATAACTCACATGTCGTAAGGTCCAACGGATCACCCCAGCCGGCGAGTATGACAGGGTCATTGAGGTGGCTCCCACGATTAATACATACATATATATATATATATATATATATATATACACGCGCGTATATATCACCCGAGGTCTCGAGCGGGATCGGCGGCAAGGCGAAGCCTTGAAACAAGGCGAGAGACCCAGGAACAGCGGAGGAGGGAGAGGGAGGGAGGGCCCCACAGGGGCTCTGGCCCCGTCCCCGACGAGGCGAGGATGCCCCGAGGGGCCCGGGCGGAAAGGAGGGGAGGGGAAAACAGCACGCTGTCCAGGGCTCACGTGTCTCCCTTTGTTAGCAGCGACGGGGCCACCATCTCGGTGCTCTGCGCTCTGCAGCACGGTCTGCCATCCCGCCACCAGGAAGACCAGGCCGAAGAACGTGGAGCTCCTGAGGCCTGAGTTGTGCGCTGCCGTCGCCGACGCCGATCGTCAGGACTTCTGACAGGCAGTCGTCGCTGTCGGCGCCGCCTCTTCAGGCCGCGTGGAGCGTGGCTTCGTCTCGTGCCATGGCGGCCGCCACGCCCCTGCTCTGCTCCTCTGAGTCGTACAGGTAGCCGTGGAAAGCCATGCTGCTCCAGCGGCCCTAGCGTTTCACAGCCTTAGCGTCGCCCAGCACGTGCCACGGCGCTGAGGCGCCCCCGATGCGGACGCTGTGCGACTTAAAACGCCGGGGAGGTAGCCCCTCGGCCGCCGCTAGGCGCTGCAGCGCCGTCTGCAGCTGCTCCTTCTTGACCACCTTCCCGCTGCTCCAGTGGAAGAGGGGCCAGTGTTCCTCCGCGCCCTCGGAGAAACGCTCCGGGGCGTGTTCCCTCAGAAGCTCCAGCGCTCCCACTGGGCACACCTTGGCGTCGGCCCGGTGGTGTACCCTGCAAGCGCCGAAGGCCCTTTGGTCGGTCTTCGTCTGAACGTGACCAGCGCCCTCGCTGCCTTGCCCAGCCCGCGCGGAGCTGGCCCGGGGCTTTCGTCGTGGAGCGCCACGTCCACCCCGCGGAAACACATCTGCTCGTCAACGCCGCCGTTGTCGGTGATCTCCTTGGCCCGGCAGAGGTAGAAGAAACCCGTCGTGAGGGTCGCCCAGAAGACCACCGCGTCGAAAACTTCGTCGCCGAGCTTGGTGCCTCTGGTCTTCTTCGGAGGTGCTGGCGCCAGCTCGTCCTTCAGCAAGGCCATCACGCGGGGGGTGACGCCGAGCTTGCTTCACTCCTTCGGACCTCCCTCTTGCAGCGAGCCGACGAGGGCCGTGGTGCGCTTCTTGCCGGCGAGCGGGTCGCCGCCAGCCGCGCGCACGTGGCCACCTTGGAACGCGAAGAGGGTGCTGAGGAGGGTGCCGTTGCCTTTTCTCAGGCCTCCGAGGTAGCCGAGGAAGCGCAGCAGTTCTCCTCGTCCTCGGCCACCTGCCGCTGCGTCTCGCTTGACAGGAGGGGGGAGATGCCGCGCCTGGTGCACCACCACAGCCACTTCGACCAGGCCTCGCCGTAGTTGGTGCGCGTACTGTGGGCCAGTCCGCCTGCGAGCTTGCGGTGGATCCAATCCTGGAGCTCGTTGAGGACCTGGACGTCCGGTTCCGGGTTGGCGAGCTTCTCGGGCACGGAGGTCGTGACCAGGCCGTGCTGTGGCACCTTGCTCTTCCGCTGGGACTGGGCGACCGCCGGCAGTTCCTGCTTTCCCGCCTTTGGCGCTTCGGTCCTTGGGGCTTTCGCCTGGTCCCTGCCAGCCCAGGCCGGCGCCGAGCGCCAAGGCCCGGGCGCTGATGTCGCCCAGACACTCCTCGCCCCCGCGGCGCCGCCCGGGCCCGAGCGGCCCTCCTCCTCGGCGGGGTCGGGGGGGGCCTCCCGCGGACCGCGCGCCTGGGGGCTCGGCGGGCGGGGGCCGCCCTGGGGGCAGCCCTCTCTTCCAGCGCGCGAGCTACTCCTGCATTCCGCTGCGTTCCTCTCTCCTTGGCCTCGGCTTCGCAGTCGCTGCAGGCGCCCGCGCCCGCCTCCCAGTCGAGGTCCGCGCCGGCCCAGAGGGCCGCGGCCCCTGCGAGCCTGGCGCCCGCGTCACTTGCCACGAACCTTCGGGAGGCGCGAGGCGGCCTGCTTGCCCGGGCAGTTGGGCAAGTCCTCGAGCGAGCCGCCGACCGCGAGCCAGGCCTGCTCGAGGGCGGCGCGCCCCACCCCGTGGCCAGGGCCTTTGAAGTCGCGCATCGGGGGCGGAGGCGCCCCCTCCCCGAGTCGGGGGGGGGGGGTCGGCAGCGGGCCGCCCGCGGCGTAGACGACCTCCTTGCCCGCCGTGGCCCGCAGGTGGCCGACGCCGACACGTGGGGGGCGCTCGTCAGCGCGTCGCATCCGCGGGTCAGCCTCGAAGCGATCCCTGAGCATCCAGACGTCGTGCCGCGGCGCCTTCGGTCGCTGCGGGATGGGGCCGGCCGCTGGCGCAATGGGGCGCTTGAGGTCGAGCGCGCCGGGCGCCCGCGCTTGCTGCTCGTCGCCCGCGCGCCTGGCCCCGACCAGTGCCGGGCGGCGCCGCTCCACCCACTCGCCCACCGCCGTCGCGAGCAGGTCCTCGATGTTGACCGTGAAGCCGTGCTCCCGAAGGGTCCGCGTTGCTTCGTCCAGCGGCTTCTGCCGCGGGGCGTCGAGGGCCGCCCTCTGCTCCGAGATGCGCGGCCCTCGCGGCCGCGGCGAGCGCGCCGCCGTCCGCGGGGTCGGGGCCGAGCGTCGCCAGCACGACCCAGACGGGGCCGTGCACTGGGGCGGGG